TTTTAAGTATTAATCTAAATCTCCAGATTTCTGCACTTACAGCAGCCCCTCAATGCTGTGTTTTATGTATATGCAGACATACTGGGTCCAATTCTAAGATATACTAGCATACTATTTATCCTGCTTTTTATTATAAAAGAATCCGAATAACATGCGGATAAACTATTTCTGAAGTTAATAAGGTTTGCATAACAGCTTTGCTCCTCAGACCAACCAGTGGGTATAATTATTTTCCTGTGTTATTCCTCAGTCCATAGGGGAGCACAGTCTTAGAGGTGGGGAAGGTCTGCAAAGCAACAGAGAACAAGGAGCATAACTGTGGTGAATCAGAGACATTTTTGAGACCCTCATCCCTCAGTATAACAACAGAGGGCTGAATCAGGTCTCTTAGCCTGTCCACATTTTTGCCTTTTAATAGAATAATTCAATTTCATTTAATTAACAGAAGTTGGGATTCATTGGTATTTGGAGTTTGGTTTATTTATATCACACTTGAAATATAAAGGATTATGGAGTTGAGAAAAAGAAAACGTTGGGACATCAAAACATTTCACAGTGCAAATGATCTAAAGGGCAACATATCATTTGAAACCATGAGTGAGATATAGCAGCCCTTGCTGGAAGCTTTCTGATCTTCAAATCATTTTCAGAAAACTTGACAAATGGAAAACAATTGAATCAGTGCCCAGGCAGATTTAGTTTTACAAGGATGAACAGAAATTCCATTATTTCTTATGGCTTACCAGAGAAAGCAGCTCAGATTTCAACACATTTTCTAGTTCACACAATTTACTTTAGCTACTGACTAAAATTTTATCATATTTAAATGTAGTAATTGTACTGTGATCTCAAACAATATGATATAACAGTCTGACTTCATTTAATTCTGGTCTAGGATAAAGTGGACATTGATCTATTGTGTAGCAATAATTTCACAGAACAACATGAAGCTGCATGAAGAAAACCTGATTCAATATACTTCAGAACTTACATCACAAAGGCATTAGATTTTTCCTACACAATATAAAAAGTGTCAGGCAATGCTCTACTGAAAAATGCAGTTTATTACCTCTTTCATGCAGTGGCACACTTGCCAAGACCACCATTTCAGTGATAGGTTGCCACATTCAGAAATGACTGATGATTCCATATTTATAAAACTATTCTACAGTACTAGAGTTGCCAAATACAGCAGCACAAAGAAAAGTCCACTTGCTTTGGACTCCACAACCGAATTCTTCTCTCTAAATTTCCCATTCACCCAGATAAGCTGCTATCTTGTTCTATGTCATACAGGGCCACTTCTGAAAGGGCTATGAGCTCTCTTGAGGAAAAATAGTGAAGTGACACAAGATCTGCTATTTTGTTGCACAGCACTCCATCCTACAATAGAACACAAGATTCTTAGTACCTATTGAATTCCTCTTCAAGTTCTAGAAAGTGTAGAGATTTCTTTTTTCCCTACCCAAAAACTGGCACTGTATTGTGACTACACTGTGACCCCCGTGGCACTTGTTTCTCTTTTGATTGGAGGTAGAGACAAAGGTCAGTATGAACTTTGAGTAACATCTAAGAACAGTACAAAAGGAGTGTGCGTGTGTACATACATATAGAGAAGTCTACAGCATATAAAAAAAAGGTTTAAAAAGCATTTGTTTTTATGGTTACCACTAGAAGAGAAATGTTATAGAGATCCCTGTACAGCATTCACAATCTCTTCCTCAAATATTAAGAAAAGAGATAGTAAAAATGCAGAGATGTGCAAGAATGTTATCCTATCAAAATAACTGCCTTAAAACATGATTATCATACACCTTAAGTTCTCTAGTCACCTTTCCCAAGAGAAGAATGATTTCTTGCTCTCCATAATATAGATCCTACTTACCAGATCGCTATCTTATTTGACATCACTCTCACCTATCCTGTTTCCTTACCATGCCTCAAAGAAATGGACTCACAATGAAAAAGAAAATACACATTCTGAAACACCCTGAAACATAAGGAAAAAAATGGTACCAGTACTCACTAGGAAGCAGTACACAAGTGGTGCAATTTGCACCACGTAACTTGACATGTCCTAAAAGACAATGGAGTTTTTGCAACATTTGAAAATTGCCAATAGTTACTGACAGCAGGCAGCACTTACCACAATACAGAACCACAGAATTTTGACAAATGTTAGAAGGTGACAAAGATATGTCTATATATAAATATATATATATGAGGTTACTCTCATATAAAGCAACATGCACACACATACAATTAACAGGCAGACAGCTGCTTCATTTCACCAACACAGACATCCTAAAGTACTTGGTAGTTAGACGCCCTGAAGACCTGGGATATCTAGACTGTATTAATACAGAGAAAAAACACACTTCTGAAGAACTCCAGAGGCAGATAAGGATTACTTATTTTAATTGCCTACCTCTCTTTACTGAATATGTAAGAAACTAAGAGAAAATACTAGCTATTTTTTCTGTTCAGATCCAGTCTACTCCTTTTAGGTCAAGACATCCAACTGCAACAGACTTTGAAAAGAGGCAGGTGACAGCAGTGGCAAAGTAAATGACACCTGCTTCCTTCTGGATGCAGCCCAACAATCCCCTTCACACTTTCTGCATACCTCCTGAGATGCCTGCCCAGTTGCCAAAGTAGCAGAAGAGGTAATCACACTCCTACCTGCCCAGCCTGGACTCATCTAAACATAAAGGGAACACCAAAAGCTTTGGTGGTGAGACAGACACCCTGTAATACAGTAATTTGGATTGGAAAGGACCTTCAGGAGGTCTCCAGTTCAAACTCCTGCTCAAAGCAGGGTTAAAACTGAATTCAGATCAGGTATAATGTCTTACTATGGTCCTAGAATTCAAAACTGACAAAAATGTCAGCAGCATCTTATTATGGTTTCTGAATCTGAAATTATTTAACTTGAATTTTAGTTAGCAACAGTTGCAATTCTTCCAAAATGAGTGATATGTTCAAAAGCATGCTTGTTTTTTCACGTTACTTACATGTTAAACAAGGTTTTAAATCTAAATAACACCAGAATCCATGGAAGCCATTTTCTCTCAATTATAATTTTTATATAAAAGGAAAATGAAGACCAAAGTATTAAAGACAAAAGCATATAGTCCAAAAATACATGCAGTGTATATGGTATATAAAATGGATATACTTTAAAGTATATGCTTTGAAAAGCATTCGTTTAAAAGCAAATGATGAAAGAAAGAGTGGGACAAGCAATCAGTGTTAGGCTACGTATTTGGCTTACATTCCTGAAACAAGCACTGCTCACATGTGCTTCACAAAAAAACGAAAAATGTTAATTTCTCAAGCAGTCCTGAAACCACCCCTCTAGAGGGAGGACATATAATCACTAGGCTTCAGAGGTAGGCTCCTTTCTTTGCATCAGTGCTTCTTGAATTCCTTTCTACACTGTGATTTAGCATTGCTAGGAGAGTTAAAAGTGCATATGGCTCACATTAGCCTCTGACATGGTGTTTAGGGCATCCCCTGGACTGGCAGGCCATGCAGTTTGAATGTGTACCAGCTGAGAAGGGCCTAGAACCAACACCCTGAATAACTGTCTTTCAGAGAGAATTCACATATGAAGGAGATGCACCCCACACACACTCTGAAAACACCCCACTGACTAAGTCCTGAAGGACATAAAAGCAACAGAAACATTGGGTTTAGGTCCTGACTTAACTTCATTTAAACCCCATTCTTGTGAAGACAGAAATCTTGGGTTTGAACAAGTATGTTATCTAGGTAGCTACGAGTTGGTTTTGAGTGTTTGTTTTTATCTAAGTTTGGGGTAAAGGAGGAAATATTAAAACCACAAGGCAGAGAGTACAGTTGGTTACTAAGCTCTGCAGAGTCTACTGCCCTAGGTCAGCAAAGCAATACAGCATTATGGTATAAAAAGGAAAGCTAATACACAGAAGTTGAAAGGAAGAATGAAGGCAGAAGAGAGGGAGGGAGAGATTTCTTTGCACATTTTACCAATGACGCCCTGATCGTAACTCCCATTGACAGCTGTGCTAGGCAGGCTAAATGGCAATACTCCCAGAAGGCTGGGAGCAGCTGAAACTTGTTTTTACTGTTAGTCAGCCTAGATTTCAAAAAAAGGAAGGCTTTAGGGCCACAAAGTCAACTTTGCTGCCCATTTTACAATCCAATTGTGCTAATCATTTCAGCTTCACAGGTTAAAAAAAAGAGTCATCAGGACAACATCCTAAGCCTGTATGAAGTTACCACGTTATGCTGTCAAATCAAGTGGTCATAAGCATGCATTACTAGACACATTACAAGACTGTAGAGCTTTGTCTTCAACACATGTGAACCCTATATCCCTTTATCACATACAACCTCGTATGGTCACTATTTCTCACATCTTCCCTGCTCCCAATCAACCTCTGTATTAACTCACGCCTTATAAATTCAGAAAAAAATATAATACTATATGCATAGCAATTGTTTAAAGGTGATCCCAGTACCAATCCAAATAACTATTATTTATCAGATATCTTCCTATCGTGCATTAGAACAACTATCACTCAGCCTACTTGGTTTTTTCAATTTTTAAAAACTCAAAAACTCAAGATCCCAAAAATTAACTTTAAAACCTTGGAAAACAAACTATGCAAGTATTAGAACAAGACAAAGAACATGGTGGGTGGAAATACTGGAATAACAAAAATCTCTCTTTTGTAGCACTCCAGGCATTAATTTTGTACTTTAATATCACCCAAATTAAAGATGTTCAAGAAAAACATCAAGTTAGTGGTATACAATCCAAATCAAAGCATCTCACTTAAACAGTTTCTTACTTTTTCTCAAATATCATTTTTAAAAGTCAAAAATTTCAAAAACAATGCAGTTTCTAATCACCTGCATCATATAATATTCCTTATTAACAGATGTTATTACCTTAATAAAATAATCAAAGAAGAAAATAAAGAAAGCATGAACAGTTTTGGAAACAAAAGCCTTACCTTGAAAAGCAGCTGCATTACGAGATATTAAAAATTTTAATGTAGCACTTGATGTTTGAAGCACTTGCTGTATATCTTGCTTCGCTGCAATTTGATACCTTTCTTCCATCTTTTTGGTACAGCATGTTGGATTTTTAGAAGTGCAAACCTGGAGATCAACACCTAAGGAAAATGCAATTATCTTGATTAAGAAAACCCACAAGTATGCAAAACACAAACACATAGAAAACAGTTGCTTTTTCTTTATACATAGGTCTTGACATATAAAAGAAATACCAAGGCTTTAAAGACATTTGGCCTTTTTAAACAAAAAACAGAAGGAGATACTAAATGACATTCAGTGGAAAGAATACACTTATTACAGTTAATTAATGTCATATAATATAGTTTCCCTGACACTGTAGTCTTGTTCCAGCTGTGAATATCACTAACTAATGTTGGTAAAATACTGCAACTATGTATTGTACACCACTGTACAGGTGGTAGATTTCCCATCCCTGGAAACATTCATGATCTGGCTGGATGGGGCTCAGACCAACCTGTTCTAGCTGAGTATGTCCCTGCTCATTTCAGGGGGTTAGATTATATGACCTTTAGAGGTCACTCCCAACCCAAACAATTCTCTCATTTTTTGATCCTCTAGAATACTGAGCTGCTGGATCAGTGCTTCTCTAAATCTTGGACAGAAAGAGTTAACTACTGCTAAATATTACGGACCATTCCTGACAGGTTTATAATTAACTTTTAACATATCAACTTTTATATGGAGCAGTCCTAAGTTCCAGTCTAATCACCCTTACTATGTCTTTCTCTAATGTCTAACATTTCCATGTATCCATCACATCAACTCATTACTTTGCTAATAGGTTGGGAAATGTTTCTAGAAAGGAATATCTTTTCAAATTTCGGGCACACCGAAATTCAAGAGGAGCAATTCAGTACTTTTATAACAGCTGTATCTCTCTTTTTTCCTTTTTTTCTTCTTACAACTGGAGTACAATCAAGCATGAAAAGATCTTCTTCACCCTCCTGGTTATATAGTATTTAACATCTTCTTTTATACTCTGCCTAGACAATGCTTTCTAAAATAAGAAACAGACATATGAAAGAAGAAATCCATGAGAATGTACTTTATATTAATACAAAGTTTAATGGTCCAATCCGAATTCTGTTCTAAAATGCATTGTTTCACTTGACAGATATCACAAAATTTCTAGCAAACATTGTGAGAAACATTTTCATCTGCCCTGCGGACTAAATTCTAATCCTGTGATTCTTTCTTCACAAGAGTTAAAAAAAAGGAAGACTATGATTAGAAGAAAAAAAAAGAAATTAAAAAATCCAAAACTTAAATCCACATTGCCCTTGACTCTATACTCACTTTCAACTCTTACACCACATCTTTGTACTTAAACTTTTATTTTGCTACCACTAAACTTAAAAGATTTAATATTCCTTTTACATAATTTTTTACCAGTTCTTCCTCTGATAAATCATTTTAAGTTAATATGAATAAAGTTATGGGCAAAGTGAGGCCTTTCACATTTTGTATCCCAAATATTCAATTAATTGTCATATGTAAATTGGGTGCTTTACATAATACATTCCAGAAAGTCAAAAAGGCCAAGTTGTGCTACTGGGGCCTGGAACACAGCGTTCTGGAAGAATGTCAAAATGTTTAAATTCATTTTATCAAACTCATGTCCCTTTATCCATGTGTTGGTTGAAGCAATCTTAATAAAGGGATGCCTGGTCCCAGAACTTCACTTCAGCTACACACTGGGGAAAAAGTTTTATTTGCATACAGCAATCCCAGACCTGAAGCAGGAACTTACTGTGTCATATTTAGACAGATAAGATACAGAAGATTCCTTAGAAATCACATTTAGAAAAGCATGAGACCAGAATGAAACAGGTAAATTATATATACTATTTTTAAAAAATGAAGTTGTCAGAGTCCTAGATGAACAGTTGTCTCTACAATACTACACAGAGGTAATTTGATTCCCATGACAAACAAAAAAATATCCCTTGCTATCTGCTGATAAAATTGTCTCAGATTTGCTGAATATTTCCCTCTAGCATCATTGATTTCCATCTTCACAATTCCTGGTCCCTCCATTCTACAACAGGTGTGGAAAATAGGATACATTTGAATGAGGATACATTAAAGACTACAGAATTTTTCTGAATGTTTAAAGGATCTTTTCTGCTTCATGCTTTCGGTCATATGATGTAACTTTTCAGGCAAAACTGACTCATTTTATTGAGGAGTGCAGCTCAGCAATTGACATAATTCCATACTTATGAAGACAAAAATTTGACTCTATAGACATGAGAACAGTTTAATGTCCATGGTAAAAATATATGCCTTGAAGTAATTTTGCAGACATCAGCAGCAGTAAATATCAAGAAAAATATAGGAAAATATAGGAAAAGCAGTAGATACTTTAAGAAACCCTACTACAACACAGAATTCATAGTATAATAGTATCACAGTATGTTAAGAGGTTGGAATGGACCTTAAAAATCATCTAGTCCCATTCTGCCCTGCCATGGGCAGGGACATCTCCCACTAGATCAAGTTGCTAAAGGCTTTATCCAACATGGTTTTCTGCCAAGGTTGGCACATCCACAACCTCCCCGGGGAACCTGTAGCTGCTTCTTTGTAGAGCTACAGAACAAGCAACACTGTTTCAGAAGAGGGTATGCAAACCAGAAAGTGAAACAGGTCATTCCATTTCAGTACAACCCACACACTTATTTTCTGTGTTTTCACATCTAAAAACACTTCCCATCTTCTACAAGAATTGTTTTGTCAATAACCAATTTTGAAATACAGGGAGAAAACATTTTCTGCTCCAGTAAAGCATATTGGCTCTTTTCAGTACCAAATTCTGATGTCTCCATACTATGATCTATTTTGAGGCAAGACCACAAGACAGTTAGAAGTGAAATAACTTAGCCTGTAATAAAAATATATTGACATAAACCGTTCTAGTATAGGAAAAGTTTTACAACTGAAAACAATCTAGATGGGTGTAGAAAAGACAGTTCAGGAAGTAAAATGTAATTATTCTGAGGTGTAAGTTTACCTATCTGGAATCGATTTCAAACTTTCAGTCATGGTCTCAGCCATACAAATTTGTATTTTCAGTACCTTGAGATAAATGAGTGCTGCCAGGATGAGGATGTTAATTGCATACACTGCTACTACACACACTAGCTGCAAAATTAATTATATAAAATAATGCATTTTTTTTTAGCTAACATATATTCAAAATACAGAGACATGCCAGTCCACAAAGGAAACAGAATTACAATTCATATGACCTACTGATATAAGGCTGCTTAGTTTGTATTACTACTAAGAAGAAGAAAAAAACCCCACAAATATGAATGGTACTGCCTTTTCTTTTAATATATGTGATGAAAACAAGGCCAATATAAGCCCTGTAATTTTATTGACTGTAGAGGTAGCCTTCCCCTGTACACAAATCCATACAAC